CTTGCCCGTGCCACGAACAGCCGGTTTGAGCTTAACATCTTGATCAAACTCATCACGGTTGCGTTTTTGCTGGGCAAGCTCGATGGCCAGGTCAGCCTTTGCCCAAAGCCATGCACAGGTGCGGCGGTGACTATCATGGGCGGACTCACGGGCCTTCTCAACGCGATGCTTCATTACTTGGCACTTCTCAAACTCGTCAATGAGATGATTGAAAAGCGTTCTTTCCTTGGGGAGCTCATCGAGAGGTATTGCACGGAGAATATAGTTGTACTTCTCACGGAACGCCTCTATGTCCGCTACTGATTGGCCGGCAAGTTTCAAACCTAGAAGATTGCGTTCTCCAAGGATGCCGATCCGATCACGCTCCAGTTGAAAGTGCTTGAAGATCGAACGCAACATCACGCGCCCACTGGGCATTGTACCTGCGGTGTTCCGTTCGTGCTCCACCATGTTTTGGAACAACAACCCAAACTTGCCTTTGCGACAGGTCTTCAACAGCTTGGCGGCTATCTCGCGGGTTGTGCGTGGGAAACGTGCATCTGCGCTGAGTTGTTCCTCGGATGAGGTCAGGCAATCCTGAGCCCAGAGATAGAGCTCGTCACCGGTCGTCTTTTGTAGACGTCCAATGGCCATGAGGACTCGATTCACATATCCACGCGCCTGGCCGGCGTTCTCTGGCGGAAGCGGAAGCACTAAATCCTTAAGGTCCTTTATGCGAACCACGGTTTCCTCATGTGAGGCCGGATCTGATGCGCTTGTAGCAGCATCCCCACCACTTGCATCTGCTGCTTGAGTACCTTGTCCCTGCCCCCCATTCATGGAAAGGGAGGGGCAGGCGGTATCATCATGCGGGCCACCACAGACTCGGCATGAGGGAGTGTTACCCTCGTCACCGGATTCTGAGGATGTGTCGGAGCTTGCCTCCGAAGGTGCGAGTGGGGAGGATGGGAATTGAGCCACTTGACTTGTACTTGCACTTGTTAGCCTAAGCGTGGGGACAGCAGTTGTGTGCTGGACAGCTACGGAAGGCGCCTGAGCCGATGCGATCGGGGGCGAAGCCCCTGATACCCCTACCTGGGCCTCAAATAACTTTGAAAGTTGATGGACCAGCTCAGTTAAAGAGGACATTTGTGCCTGTACGTCTACAGGTCCCCTTACATCCTGGGTCCGAGCGACGTCCGGTGGTCCTTGTGGTTGTGCACGTGGATCACCATCCTGGATTTGCACACGCTTGGCATCTGACTTGATGTCGGGCTGTGGGGGAGCGAAGGATTTTGGGAAACCAACAGGGGCACGTGGCGCTACCTTAGGGTCGCTACTTGAACTTCCCGATGCGCCTAGAGCTGCATCCTTCGGGGGACACTGCTCACGTGTGGCATCACTCGGCCCTTGAACTTGGGGAGCCTGTGATCCAACCTGAAGGTCACGTCCAACGTCATTTAGCCCCGATGACCCGGGATCCGTAGGATTTTGACTTTCATAACTTTCATCCGGAGGAACCGGAACATTTTGCGCCATGGATGCGGCAGCCCTTTCTAGGTCAGCAAGGCGTTGCGACAAAAGGTTTTCACTCCCTAATGTATCTATCACTTTGCTTTGCTGGAGGATCTTCTGTTCCCGTGAGGAAATTTCTTGAATAACCTCCTGCCTCAACCTCGACACTTTGGCTTCTGCGGCCGACCTTGTTTGTTGTGCTTCATGCCTAGCACGCTCAACATGGCTTACGGCTTCCTGTCTTAACAGATGGACATGGCCTTCGGCTTCCTGCCTCACCTGTTGAACATGGCCTTGAGCTTCCTGTTGAGAATGCTGTGCAGCTTGTTCAGCTAACGCTGTCTGAGCACGGGCTCGTTCGACTGCTTGCTGGGCTTGGTATGTCAGTTCAGTTGCCTGTTGTCTAAAGGTCTGATTCCTTTGTTGCGCAACAGCGGCAACCTCCCCTAGCCTTTGTCTGGCCTGGTCCGCGGCTCGATGCTCGTGAAGGGCAACATTGGCAGCCTGATCAGCAATGAGCGAAGCTTGATGCGCACGTTGCACTGCCGATCCGGCCACAAACGCGGCAGCACTCATGTTATTAGATGGGTCGCGTGCTGGCACTTGAGGGCTATACACAAGGGGAGTTGCTGTAGAGTCTGAATCAGGTTCCTCTACAATGGGAGTCCTACGGGGAGGAGTCGTGTTGCGATCACGACCACGATTATCTCTTGATGAGGATGCCCTGGAACCTACAGGAACTACGGACATTGCGGGTACCGAAAAATCACCTAGTTCAGGGTCTTCCTCATTAGACTCTCCCTCAGGGGTTGACCTTGACCTATCATCCGAAGGTGGGGAAATCCCTGGATGCACCTTTCACACGAGGTCAGGCTCACGTCTGCTGACACACCGCGCTTTAAGCTGCGGCCTTTGGAAAACTTATGCTACAACCGGTGTTGGAAACCGGTGCACTTGCTGCGCTTGAGCTGCAGCCTCCGGCAGTGCCAGGTCAACGAAAAAGTCCTCGGCCGCCCCTTGCAGACTGCGGGCGGCGGCCAACCTCCTCGAGATACTCGTTTTGTTCGAGTACCCTGGCAGGGCGGAGAAGGCGTCGGTGCTGAGCGAGGTATTCGTGGAGCTCGTTCAGCGCGTCGTAGAGCGCTCGGTTGGTGTCTCGCCGATCGACACCTACGCCAAGGGCTCCTGCAGTGCGACACTCCTTGAGGATGGAGTTGTTGTCGTCCACGATGGCGCACGCCCCGAGCTGCGCTAAAGCTGCAGCCTTGCCAGATGGTCCGACCCGTTTCCAGGTCAAGACCACGTCTCCGAACGGGAGTGTGCCCAAGCCGTCAATGGCGTTGTTGCACACCTCGGAAAACTGGGTGGCAAGTCGGAGGGTGCTTTCCCGGGTGTCCCGGGCCTGGCAATAACTGATGATGCGAAACTGGATCGGATAATGACTTCTATACAGTTTGGATACTGTACGCAAAAGCCAATCCTTGGGCGCACCGTCGGGCTCGACGCCAATGTCAAGCGTATTATGCCAGTCGAGGGCGATGACCAGCGGGTCTCGTGCCTCCTGCTGAGGCGCACTGAATGCCGTCCCGGGAGGGACGGGGCCCTTGGCAGCTGCAGTGGGCGGCTGCTTCACCGGCAACTTGGGAGCTGGTGGGGACTTGTACCTCACCTGCGGCGCAGGTGAGGGTGGCGCCCGCTTGAATGCTTTGGGCGGTGTCTCAGGCCGCCTCACACCACTGATCGATTTCGGGACCGACGCTGCGCGTTGAGCTGCAGCCCTTGGCACTGGTGCTGGGGGTGCTGGTGGTGCTCTCAGCGGTGGTGGGGGAATGGCCTTCGACGCAGCGCGATCCGCAGCTGCCTGGTCGAGCCTTGACCTGGCTTTCCCGCTTGGCAAAAACAATCCGAGCGGTCTTTGTTGCGGGTGCTGTGGATGAGTCGCGCCCGGCAGGCGCAGGCCGCTTGATGCTGACCTGCTCAGCCTCGTACACCCTGTCCGGGTTGAAGGCCGCACGACCTGAGTAAACGGCTTGAGCCGACCTTTCTGGAGGTGGCGACGCACTCAGGTCGTAGTGCTCGGCCCTCCCGTGACCTCTTGGAGGGTCGGAAGAGGAGTCTGCCCTTGGCGGGCGGTGCCAATACGAGTCTGGGCCCCCGGATGCGTCGCCCGACGCGTGGGTCGTGCGGTACCCTCGTATCGGTGCTGGAGGATCCAGATCCCTGTGCTGTCCACCCGGGTTGTCGGGTAGGCGCAGTTGGCCGGCGCCAAGATCAGCGGCCGGCTGCTCAGGGATGCACGGGCCGGAGGTGCTGAAGAGCTGGAGCTCCTGGTCCTCGACCCCGCTGCGCTTGGAGCTGCAGCCCTGAGGAGAGTTCTGGATCTCGGGCGTCTGGTTGACGCCTTCCGCGCTGGTACAAGGGAAGGTTGTCGCCTTGCCGGCGGTGTCCTCTTCCTCCTCGATGAGGCCCGCAGTTGCTGGTGGATAGGATGAAGGTCGGGACCGGCTCTCAGTTGTGGTTCTTGGTGGAACCGCTGCGCTTGTAGCTGCAGCCTGATCTCCCGGCCCCGCTGCTGCCTGTGTCTGCGCTACGCTTGGAGCTGCAGCCTTGATGGTGGACACAGTTGTGGTGGAGGATGGACTTGATGGGGTGCTTGGCTGTTGCTGTGGCTGAGCTGGTGTTGGAGCCTGCCCTGCCGCGCCTTGAGCTGCGGCCTGTGCCCGTTGGTGGATTGGGATTGGTTGGCGGCGGCCTCGGGCGATGACGGCGTCGTAGAGGTCGGGGTAGATGTCCCGCAGGTGCCGATAGCTCTCTTCGGTGAAATCGGCCTGCCACGCCAGGAGGGAGCTCCGATGCAAGTCCGAAGCTTTTTTTGCAGGGGACTCTTGCCACCCCAACCTGGAACTCACGCCGAGCCCAACGGGTGAGCTCGTCGAAAGCTTCGTAGTAAAGCTTTCGGCGATATACCCACCCGCCCCTGTGTCCTCTGGCCGAGAAGGCCGGAGCCGGGTCCATGCACGAAGTGCGCTGACTACCGGACTGAGGGGGCCTAATCCCAAAAAGCAGATACGGCTGATAACCACTCAACAGGGAAAGAAACAACGCGAACCAGAAACCGGGACCCTTATTAACCCGGCGAGCGCAAACCCTGGATTTGATCTTCTGGGCATCTTGAGCCAAATGGTCATTGCCATTCGGCAAGTCTGTGCAAAGCAAAAGGGGCCTCCAACATCACATACATGCACACCATTCTGGGGTGCCTCTTTGGGGGTCAAGGGGTCGTGATTATTCAACTATGAACATCCCAAACCCAAGTAACATGGTATCATTGGTCTTGACCCACAGCCACATGAGTTCCAACAGAGAGACATGAGTTTCCATAACAGTCCTTTTTGGGAGAATAGATGGGCTTCCCTGGTAGTTGATCGAACCACCAGGAGAAACCAGGAATCGCCCTCTATTTAAAAGGACACCTGTGTGAGTTCCCCTCGCCCGGGCCCAGGCGCTAACTTGGCCTGCTGCTGCTCCTGGAAGCCGTGCTCGGGGTTCAGCATGGCCCGGAAGACCTCCGACCACTCCCGCAGCAGGCAGGACCAGACCTCAGATATGCTTGAGGAGTTTTTCTCCGAACAGGGAGGGGCGGGGGGTGTTGCGTTTTTGGTTTGTTTGTTTGCTTGCTTGTTTGCCTTGCTTGCCTTGCTTGCTTGTTTGCCTTGCTTGCCTTGCTTGCCTTGCTTGCCTTGCTTGCCTTGCTTGCCTTGCTTGCCTTGCTTGCCTTGCTTGCCTTGCCTTGCCTTGCCTTGCCTGGCCTGGCCTGGCTTGCCTGGCCTGGCCTGGCCTGGCCTGGCCTTGCCTTGCCTTGGATTGGCTTGGCTTGGCTTGGCTGGGCTTGGCTGGGCTTTGTGCTGGGCTGGGCTGGGCTGGGCTGGGGCTGGGCTGGGCTGGGCTGGGCTGGGCTGGCTGGCTTGCTGGCTTGCTTGCTTGCTTGCTTGCTTGCTTGCTTGCTTGCTTGCGTGTTTGCTTGTTTGCTTGTTTGCTTGTTTGCTTGTTTGCTTGTTTGCTTGTTTGCTTGTTTGCTTGTTTGCTTGTTTGCTTGTTTTTTTGCTTGTTTTCTGGGTTGTTGTTTTTTGCCTTTTGGCAAGTCCCCACATGTTTCTCCCACTATGTCGCTATCTCCAGCCGCACGCACGCCCCCAGCCTGGAACTCCGCGGCCACAGCGCCGTCCTCGGCCTCCACCACCACCGAGAGGTCCCCGCCCTTGCCGAAGCATCGCAGCAGCACGCTGGCCACAATGGCCGTCTCCGGGGTGGCCATGCCAGCGCCGACGGCTCCATGGCAGGTGCGGGCGGCTCAAACCGAAATGCTGAGGCCAAGCATGGGAGAGTCGTCTTTGGAAGGGGAAGAGGTTGGGGTATTTCCCGGGAAAACCAAAGGGATTTATTTGACATGCGTTGGGACCCGGGCTTCCTATTTGAAGTGTGGGCGCCCGGCGCCCGGGCCTGCCAACCCTGCGGCTTCTGCAGCACCAGCCTCAAGCTCGCGACCAAAGGAGCCAAGGCACTGGGCCAAAGTGCACCACCTTGAGCTGTTGTGGTTCGAGCTGTTTTGTTTGGAGCAAAGAAAGAAACATATTTTTGAAAATATTCTAAGTGATTGGGGAGCACGTGTTTAGTTGGTTTTGTTTAGTTTGAGCTATTTGCTTGTTTAGTTGGCTTTGTTTGAGCTGTTTGCTTCGTCTGCGTTGTGGCTCCCTTTTGGGAGGCGTGTTCTTGTCCAGCCCCGTGCGCTAGGGGCCGAACTAAATCCGGGCTGAACGCCCTATGTGCGAGATCGACAAGAGCCATCTAGCTTTTTCTCAGCTTCACATTGATTGGTGCGGATCGGCGGTTGGTTAGGGGGACCGTACAGCCGGTGGATAGAGCTGAAGCCTCACTTGCCAGGCCTGTCGGGCAAGTCCAGCACAATGCGTGGAGCATCGCCATTGCCTTGCAGCGGACTTCCAGCATTCGCCAGCCTTTGCCTTCTTTTCACTCGGCCAAAAACCCAAAGCTGGAGCTGAAGCTCCACAAATCTGCTCTCTCCCTCTCTCCGCCGTTGCTTTCTTCCCGAACATCTTGACTCAGCTTTCTTTGTTGCCGGGGCCGGACGCGCGCCTGGGCCTGCTCTTGCACGAGAAACCTCACCGTCCTGCGTCTGGCCCAGCTCCTTCCCCACTCCTCAGCCCAGCGACGCCACCGCCGCAGATCCTCCCTGCTAGGCGCTAGGCGCCGGGCGGCCGAGCTGAAGCCGCAGAAGCCGAAGCATGCCGGCCTCAGACCAGGCAGCTCGCAAAGCATACAAGAAGCCGAAAAAAAAAGCCACAGGAATTCACGTCTGGCCAGGACGATTTCCATTTATGCAGTTCTTTGATTGGTGATTCATTCAGATAGTTACTTGTATATTTAGGTATTTAGCGACTTATGTAGTTGTTTGTTTACCCACTTATTTAGGAATGAATTTATGTGTTTACGTGTTCATGTGTGTTAAAATGTGTATGTGTGAATACATATGTGTGTGATACGATATTATGTGTGCGCATACGCGCATGTGTGCATTCCGTGTGTGGGTCCAAGGCAGAATAGGCGATTTGGGTGCCCAACAGGGACCGGGACGCACAGGCTGGACGCCTGGCCAGGCGGAGGCTAACGCTGTTTAGCAGTTTGATGGCCAGTCCAAAAGATTCAAAAGAACCACATTTGGGCCTTTGTGTTCAATCGGGCTTTGGAATGGTGGATGGCCGCCTCGACAAGGCATCCATGTGTTTCTTGAAAAGCTACCCAAAGGAACTTGCGTTGAAACGGAACAAGGGGTGCGTGAGCGACCTCGCAAGTGAGACCGCAAGCTCCGTTGCAAGACTGCGGCCAAAGCCCTCAAGACATGGGAGATTCGAAAGGCCAGGGACACCCACAGGACCACCAGCATCTTGCGGGCGAAGTCCATGAGCGCCAACCGAGGCTGGGCAAGGCTGAGGGAGCCCACGAGCCTCGAGCTCGGTTCGGTGAAAACGCAGTCCCCTGAAAGGAACCAGTTGGACGGTTTTTCTTGGGGTCAGAACCTCACTCCCTCAGCACCAAGGGAAAGTTTTTAGTGGCCACCTTTGTGGCGATCAGGGTTGTGCACGTGGCCAGTCCTGCCCGCAGCTTCCAGCAGCTCCAAGTAGAGAGAAGCCTCGTGAAAGTCCAGGCTGCAAAAGCCTCGGATCCCAGAGCTGCTGCTATGCTTTGCTTCGCCCAGAAACCACCGAGGTGGAACGGGTGAGGGCACGGGTTGTTTAGGTTCGTTTGTGTAAATTTCCTTTCCCTGCTGAAAGGCGAGCATGCTGCATCTTGCGGCATGCTTTAGCAAATCGCACCAGCATCATGATCAACACCCACATAGGTGTTTGGCAGGTTCAGGGTGGGTTTGGGATTTTTTTGGCAGGGTTGCGAAGGCAGGGTCAGAGCAGGTCAGAACTTCATTCAGAGTGGGTTTAGGCTGCTTAAGGTTAGCTGGCTTAATTTAGAGTTGTTTCAAGCTTGTTCAGGGCGTACAAAACTAGCTTCGCTTCAGGGTTGGATGAAGGGTCAGGGTAGGTTAGGAGGTTTCTGGGTTGGCGCAGGCTGGGTTCAGTGTGAGTTTGGGTCATTGAAGGGCAGGATTAGGGTTGGTTTCGTGCTTGGAGTAGGAGTATATGCTACGACTCCTTGTCAGCTTAGCGCAAAGCTCTCTTTGGACTTTTTGGCTCGCGAAACCCCCCCGCCCCCGGCATTGTGCTCTGGGAGGGCCCGGCCCCAGGAAAGGTCCGCCAGTATGCGCGGCGTTACCTCCGTTCCGCCTGCACGCCGTGAACGTGTACCGACATCTGTTCGTGAAGCGGACAAACAGTGAAAAGAACCCCCTGGGTCCACAAGCGAGCCATACTTCCGCGTTCCTACGGCTTGGGCAAGCTCAGGACCAAGAAAGGGAGAACAACATGATTGCAAGATGTACATGTTAGAGGCCGGTCAAGTGGAAAAGGCATGGACTCGTGCTTGTCCCCATGGAAATGGAGCGCAGCTTCGCCGCGCCTCGAAGCCGCGCCGCCGCCTCTGCTGCAGCAGCCTGGATCCAAACGAGACGTCCGTGGGACACCTGACCTGTGGGTCCCGAAACTCTCTGACCCCCTCGGAGCCTTGAGAAAGCCGGGGCTGGCTACCGCCAGCGTGCCAAAGGACCACAGGGCCTGGCGGACTCCGCTCGCATCCCTGCGGCCTTCGTGATGGCACCCGGCCCTGCCCAGCTCTGGCAAGGGCAGCTGCGGCAGCTGGGGCGCCAGCGCCTGGCCGCTGGGACTTCCAGGCTTCTGGGTTTTACTGGTTGCTTTCGTAAGCGCTCACAGCTTCACACATTTGACGCCTCAGTCTCTTGTTTCTTCATGTACTTTTGATCAGTTGCAGGCTCTCTTTCTTATTGGGCTTATCATTGCAGCTGTCGAGTCGAGGCAGCCCACACACCTCGGCCACGTTTGCCCATGCGGGAGTGAACCGGCTCAGCTGCGCTCCCATCCATGCCATCTGTGTGAGCTCCTGTGTGCGCACCAGCAACATCTCCATGCTCCCAGCCTTCACCCCGACAGCAGTGGGGTAAGAAAACATCAAGCAGACTGCAAGCAACGAGACGCTGGCTCATTGCGAGCCGCAAAGCTCGCCTCCGCAGTCAAGTTCGAGGTGTCCAGCGCCGGCCAGGCCCGTCGCAGCCGTTCCGAAGAGCCGTGCACGAGGCCTAGGGCCCGCCAAGAGAGTTGGGGAACCGGGGAACCGGACAAAAACCGGATATTTTACTCAACACAAGTTGGACTTCCACTTCGATTCGATCAGCATGCGCTGTTGCAAGGGGATACCCTTCCGGTCCACTTGCGGCACAAGCACAGGGCAAAATCATCTGTGCAAACCTCATGGCAGGACAAGCATCTGACTGCTTATAGCAGCCCGCTGTTCAATCTTGAGGTCATCAAGTGACCACAGCATGGGAGTGGAGCACAGGTGTATAGAAGCCTCTTAGTTGGGGCGAAGAATGACCTGGAAACTGTCTGTCTGAAAGGGATCATGACCAAAGCTGGGCTGCAACCGGCTCAAGCCGGAGTTGAAGCCAAGCAGCCAGCAAGCACCACCAGACCTCAGAACACCGAAGCAAGTGCTTTAACACAACGTCAAACATTCCAGGCAAGCCGTCGGCCGAAGCCGCCAAAACGCCGGGCACGCTGCAGGTCCAGAGCAAGTGCCGGCCCGTCTTACAGTGTAACTCAATTGGAAGAGAGTCAAGGTCCAACATGTGTCCCAGTTGAAACTGGGCTGCCCTCAGATCCCCCGCTAAAAGTTTAACTTTTTTAGTAGGTCAAATGAAAGCTGCCACTAAACACTAAAAGGTTAAAAAGCTAAGGGGATGGCTGGGAGCCACCAAGAAAAGTCGACGTCATTGCCGCTCCCTCCCCATCTCCGCCATGGCGCTCCAACGCCAGCGCCGTGCAACTGTACAGCTCCGCGCGGCTTGGGCCAAGGCCGCGGTGGTCAGGCGCACCGCGCCGCCGCAGCGCAGCAGCGCCAAGGTCTCGGCCCAGCGCCCTGCCTGCCGAGCAACGAACCCAAACGCCGCCTTTGTGACTTGGCCGCTCCGGTCGGGAAAATACAAACGGCTGGGTGCGCGTTTTGGGGTGTCGAACCACGGTTTGGGGCGAAAACGCAAGGGGTTTTGTTTCAACCATAATTCATATCTCTAATTTAGAACGTGAGACGTCAGTCAGTCATACAACAAATGCAAGGAACCCAAGGAGAATACCACCTGCGTTCTGTAAGCAAGTTGCAAGGATGGGCAGGCACACTCGTGTAAGTAAGTTGGGCTGCTTGGAAGCTGCGCAAGGAAGGCATACTGGCTTGAAATTACGGGGCCAGCTACGCGCATACCGCGCCTGCTCACAAACTGCCAGCGCTTCGCTTGCCGCCAGGGCCGGGGTCATGTGCTGCAGCATCCGCACTGTGCGTGGCCAGCAACCTGGGGGGCAAAGGGCCATCCAACTGCCCCCACAGCACCTGGCTCCTGGCTCCCTCTGCGCAACCAAGGAGCCTGCTTGTGAAAATGCCGCTGCGGCGGTGTTCGCACTCGCCTGCCGAAGCGAGTGAAGCCGCACATTACCACTTGCGTTGCCCGGAATCTTGCTTTGGGCTGCCCCCCTCCAAAAGCAACGCAATGCCTCTGAAGCAAGCATGCAAACAACTGTCTCACCTGGAGCACACTCTTATGGGCTTTATGACCGGATCCGCAACTTACAGCACAGCGTGGCCCAATGCCCCCCAAGCAACCGCTGATTCACTCAAGCTGCCCATAACGTTTGGCCGTTTTCAACCAATTAACTCCCAGCAACATCGAGCACTGCAAGCCAACAACCTCCAGCCCACCCAATCCCCGAGCCCCACCAAAGCACCTCAGTAGGCACCACGGCTACGCCTCTCATCTCCGCCAGCAGCGCCGCCGTCTGCGGCCAGTGACCCACCAGGCCCACGGCGGTGAGGCAGGCGTTGAAGCCGATGGCCTCCCGCCGCAGCTGCAGCCCACCGAAGCTCCTGACGCCAAAGCGATCTTCGGCCGCAGCTCTCGAGCACTGACATTCATTGGCAGCCACTCGTTTGCTCTCCTTGGGGTTGAGGTGTTTTTTTTACTAGCCCGCCCTTTTCGAGGGATCGCTTTGTCAGTTTCAAGGAAAAACCAAAGGGGACAGCCACCCACGGCCTTCTGCCACAGCAGCCCCAAGAGTCCTCAGCAGCTCCCCAGCGCTCCGCCAGCCGCCCCGCGCCGCCATCGCCGCGTGCCGCGGCGCGGCGCCGCGGCAAACGGCGCCCAAGGCCAGAGCCGCGCGCCAGCGGCTGGCGCGCGAGGCGGCGCTGGCGGCGGTGGTGAGACAAATCACCTCACCAGAGATGCGCCCCGTGTCGGTAGCATGGTTCGGGCTCCCTGGTTGAATCGATGAGCTTGTCTCAAGATAGGGGACTCAGAAAATTGCAGATATTCCTTTTGTTTTTCTTGAAACCCACCCCAACAAACATGTCAACCAAGCAAACCCATTTTCAAAAACGTGTCTTTGGTACGTGTCGAGCGCCAAATTTCCGCCCACCAAAAAAGCGTCAGTGGGGGAGGAAATTTCCGGATGCTCAAAGGACACACAGGCAGACTACTGCTCCCAACAACAAGCGACAGTCGAGCCCCGGCTTCAGCCCCAAGGCTCCGGCGTTCACGCGGAGACCGTTGCACAAGTGCAGCGCCCCGGCCCAGACGCCTCCCGCGCCGGCGGCCGCCGCGGCGGCGCCCTGCAGCACCGCGTCCACTGCGCCCAGTGAACCGCCGGCGGAGGCGCAGGCGGCCAGGGCTTGGGGCCACTGGCGGCTGCGCTCGCAGGCGCTGGCGGCCGATGCCCACGTCACTGCGTCCCGGGGAGCCTGCGACATGCTGCGCCACTTGCGCCAGTTGCCCCAAGACACAAATTATTAGCCGCAATAAATGGCCATGTGGCATAACCTGGCTCCATTTTGGGGTGGATGAACATCCATTTGCCACATATTTTGGTGTTCACCAGGGGTACAGGGTTTTGACCCACAGTTGATTCTTTGGCCGGCCTCCTGCAGCAGCTGCAGCGAATGCCGCCATTCCAGCTGCGCGCCGCAGTTGCTCAAACCAGTGCTGTAGCCCACTTTGTCCGCCTCGACTCCAACCTGCCAACGGCGACTGTCTCAGGAAAGTGCGTCCCGTGAAATACAATGCTATGCAATGTTCACGATGCACTGATTCACTTGTAGTGAAGTAAGAACAAGTTCGGCGGCGTGCACTTGCCGAGAAAGAGCGTTACAGCTTTCTTCGAGAGCTTGGGCCAACACCCCCAAAAACCACAAACATCCGGGCCGCAAACGCATATTGCAAAAAGCTGCACTGGCCTAGGAATGCAAGTTTGCAGCCATTGAGT